TACGGTTTAGGTTTCATTTAAATAATTTATACATTTTCCTTTTCAGGCCCCAACTATTTCTTTTCACTTAAGTAACCCACCGGCTTTCTTTAAAGATTTGCATTTCAGCCTCCCAGAACAGCAAAAGGAAAGCTAAATCTTCTCAGGAAAGAACTTTCCTGTTTGAAATCAGTGGTGACCTCTGATATTGTCAGTTTTTATTCTTTTTGCCTCCTTAGTTTGAATACTCTCCTTTTGTGAGGGCCCCCATGGGCAACTTTTTGGCCCCTGCAGGTATTTAAGATTGTGGCTTCAGTTCTGTCTAAATAATGGAAAAAGATAAGGATAATGGAAAAAGGAAAGGAGGAGATAGTGTGAAGCTATAGTAATTGCAAAAAAAAGGGGGGGAAGCATCACAAGATCATATACAATATTTGGAGTTTTATTACCCAAAAAGTCATCTGGGGTGCATGAGGTAAGGTTCTTTGAAATGAGATGGACTCAAATAACTGAAGCCACCTATTTGTTTTCCTTTTAAAAAAAATATGGATGGTATAGTTCCATCCAGAGCATGTGTGACTTCTTGAGGTCCAGTTTAACTCCTTTGGCAGATTTAATAATCACATCCGTTGGAGTGGTCTTTTGACTGGAATAATATAGTCCAGTGTTGCCATTATAGTTCCCTTACTGACCCACTTAAAGTACAGTTTTCAAGTATTAGAAACATGCTACTGGAATGGTAGTAGAGTAATTGGCAAAATATTTGGAAGTGCAAAAATATCATCTTACATTTTGTTTTATTCATGTTAATATTGATTCAGTCTAATGGGTATATGTTAGGGGCAGGCAAAGTCCTGCTGGCAATGGACTCCATTTCCCAGCAGCCCCTGCCCACATGGCTAGGGCGAGTTTCCATGGAGACTCCAGCAGCAGCCGTGCTGTAATAGTGTGGACTGAGGGTTTCTGTGGAGACTGGCTCCGGCAGCAGCGGCAGCACCACCCTCTTCCTCGTGGGGGTGGCTGAGAGGGGGCTGTGCTGCAGGTGGGAGTGGGGCAAGCTCAGCTGCTGCCGCAGGGTGCCACGGGGAATTTTGGAGTGGCTATAGCCCCCTCAACCTCTTGTAGCGCTGCCCCTGCTGGTAGGGCACACAGCAGGTCAGGGACCTCCATTGGTGCTGGGCTGGGATCTTATAGCGGTGACAGCATGGTCCAGAGCCAGGGCAGAGCTGCAATCTGCAGCTTGTATGTGTAGGCAGTGGATCATGGCTATGCCCCAGCTCTGGACTGCACTGTCACTGCTGCAAGGAGCCAGGGCAGAGCCATCATCCACTATCTGCACATGCCAGCCTGGGGCGTACAGGCTGCAAATCATGGCTCTGCCGTATATCTGGACCACTGCAAAATCCCAGCCTAGCTCCAGAGCAGCTCTGTACCCTGCCAGCGCTGCTGGGGCCAATAGCCATAGAAACCCTGGCCGCAGGCTATCAGGATGAGTCTGCTGCTGGGGTCTCCATGGAAACCGGCCCCAGCCATGCGGGCAGGGGCTGCTGGGAAATGGCGTCCAGCCACCAGCTGGATATACCGTTTTGCCCACTCTGGGTATATATACTTGTTGAGCTTAGGAGGATATTACCTAAATATGATTACTGTTTGGTTGGTGTTTGTGATTAGGTTTTAAACAGGAGTTTCAGCATTCACTAGTTTGAATGAATCTCAAAACATATTGTCAGGATATCTGGGCATGGGTACAGTACTATTGGATCAGATGTAAGGGTTAAACGTGATGAAGGATGCTTTTGTGGCAACCAGAAAGATGCCTTTTGGTTCTAATTTTTGGATAAAGTGAATATTTTTGTCACTTCTTTGATTTTTATCTTTTGAAGTCACAGAAGAAGTATACAAAGTTGATGATATTTAGACATTGTTGTAATGCTTCAGGGTAAGTACGCACACACGCACTCAGGTTCATATTGCACTTGGCAGCCCGTGGATTTAGCAGTAGTATATCTTAAAGCCAACTATATTCAAACCTTGCAGATGTCTGTTAGTAAATGTAGTCTGTATGAATAGGGAGAGGAAGAGTGAAAGCAGTAAAAGACAATATATAGAGTATGTGTTAATTAACTTAGATCCACATATCTAAATATTTATCTTTACCCATTTCGTTTGTCATAATCTTATAACTGCAATAGCTAGGTCTAGTGGCTTTTGTATGTCAGAGGTCCACTGTGGTAAAATTATTTGTTTGTTCAAGATTACTACAATTTGTGGGGTTTTTTACTTTTATTTTACTTCCCTTCTAGCTTGCTTCATACAACCTTGTCTCCTGCTTTTGTTTTGGGTACCATACACAGTTTCTGTAAGAGTATATAGTGACATTTTTTTAATATTTATAAACATTTTAACAAAACTTTGGGACTTTTTGACCCCATAAATCCAGTAAAGCTAGTATTGTTTCTAACCCCTGCTTGATATAAAACTCAGTACAGCAGAGTCGTGTCTTACACAGGGGTTGTGTTCTGAAGTCGGCGCATAAGGCAAAAATCGTGTATAGTTGAAAATCCCTTAAATCGCCCTTCCCGCCAGGCTTCGGCACCGAGCAGCCACCTCAGGGCCCGGTCAAGGCGGGTGCAGCGCTGCAGAGCCCATGTATGCAGTGCAACAGCTGCGCCTTCCACACACGCACCTCATCCCTCTCGTCCTCTGCCTCCTCGTCCTGCCAGGGCAGCCAGCTGAGCATGAGTGAGCTGCCACCCCCCAGCCATGCCGGCACATGCAGGCAGTACCTGCCATGGCACGTAGTGCCATGCCCCAGCTGCCACCCGGCGGCCCGCCCCAGCAGCTGAGCCCATATAGCTGAATTCGCTTAAGTTAAATGCATGTAAGATACAAGTCCACTGTATGCATTTGCAAAATTTGATATCATCTTCCTAACACCCACAGTTTTGAGCAAGTGGTGAAACAGGAGTGCATAAGGTGAAGCTCTTTGAAATGAGACAGACCCAAATAGCTCAACCTAGTCTAGTTTATTTCCCATAAAAAAGTGACTGGTCTATCTAGTTTCATACAAAGCACATGACTTCTTGAGATCCAGCTTAACTCCCTTGACAGATTTATTTTATTAGTCACATTTTACCAACTGGCCATTCCTATGTATGTTTTTATAATATTGCATAATAACTGATCTACTAGTTGCCCTAAAGAGGTGCCTTATTAAAAGGATTGGTGAGGTCCTTGTTCTTCACACCTTAGGTACTTTTCAGATTTAATCCTCTTTAGTGAATGTCCCCTTGGATCAACCTATCAATTGCTATAAATTATCAATTTTTCTAGCTGCAAGTAATTAAAAAAAGCCGATCCTTATAGTTCCCAAGTGTAAACTAAACTGCAAGTACCATCTACTATCTCAGAGCTCATGTGCACCTGAGGGATTTGCATAAATACAATGTCTTTTTTTTAATTACTCAGAACTGGAAAGATTAATTTCAAACTGAATATTGGCATAACCCATACAACATTTGCTAAAGGCTTTAACTTTAATTTAAAGGTGACCTGTAAAGGATTTCTTTGGCATTGGATTTTCATTGCGATGCACTAAAAAGACTTGAAAAGATGTTTTTGTTTGTTTCTGTTTTTCCCTACTTAGTATGCATCTTAAAAGCTTAAAAATATCAGAAATATTTAGTTTTTTGTTTTTTAATTTGTTTGGGCTCTCAGATGCAACAAAAACGTTTGTTTTAATTCTTGCATCTGTAATTGTTGAGCCTGCGTTAGTGTTACTGAAACTTTAACAAAGTTGTTTTGATAAAATGTCAGTTGTTAGCAGGAAAAATATACTTTTTAAACTGGACTTCAGTCTTAACTTTGACGTCACTTCACTTGTTCTTCCGTTAGCACAGACTTTTCTAGGGCAAACAAAGTCATTTTACATCTTTAACAAAAAGCATGATACCTTGTGCTGAATGCTGCCTTCTAAGAACAGTATGCTGCAGACTCGTTTCTCATGTAAAATGTGCAGATGCAACAGTAGTAAAACATTTCTGAAAACAGCCTGCATCCTCACATACTGTCTTTTGGTTGGGTTTTTTTTTAATCAGCTAAAGCTTATTAGTGTTGCACTTGCCAGTTTCTTGATGCTTTCATTTGGAAACCCTGATTTTGAGGGACTTATAATTGCTGCTTTTAATTCCAATTGCCTATAGGCAGATGCTTACCAAATGTCAGCTCTTATTCTTCTTAGAGAAGTAGGATTTATGTAACTTTAGTTGGACAAAAGAAGTTTAAAAGGTCTAAATCATATCCTTGGATAAACATTGTAACTACCATGGCTTTGAATAGTATAGGAACTGACGATTTGCATAGTAGAAGTATGGACTGTACCAGGTATGGATAGTTAAGTTTCACTGACCTTTTCAGACCTGAGGAAGCCTTTTGGCCTGTGCTTGTATATCTTATGTGAAATATTGGCCCCAGTGAAATACATAGCAAAGCTTCCATTAATGGAGTAAGGATGTCACCTTTTTAGACTTTGTATTTTCACTGAACAGGGCCATCTATAGAAGAGTCATAAAGCCTGATCTACTGACAGAGATTTATTTTCACTGACTTAAGTGATTTTTACATTTTAAATTGTTTTCTAAAATAATTAAGACATTTTTAAACAAGTTGAGATTTTTCTGTTTGTGGTGCTGTCTGTTTCACTCTTGTGCTTCAGTCAGCTGTGTTGAAAGAACCCTTTAATACCCAAGCTTATAAATGTTTTGGTTTTCTTTTAGTTTTTTCTGTTGCTGTTGAAAGGAAGTATTTTATAATAGTTTGGTGTAGGTGCCAGTATTTGTTTTAATTTCTCCTTTATTGGGGCTATGTCTTGGTTCTGTGCTGACTATCTGCAACATTCTAGTTTCTGTGCAAGAAACAGAGTTCTTCTAAAGAGTAGGTTCTTTGCGGTTTGAGTGGATCTGTTCCTAGATTACCCACTATTATCTCTCCTGACTATTTGTCTTTGTTTTTTTACTTTTTAGGATTTCTGTGTGCACGATGAAGACGTCAAAAGATGAAAAACAAGCCGATTTCCTGGACAGAGGTGAAGAAGGCGAATGTTTAGTAGAACTTCCTCACACCGGAACCATGTTCTAAGTGATTCTCCTTGGACTCTTTCATAAATATTCTATCAACAGAATGATATGAGTGAAAATCTGGTTCATCAGTGATGTATGCTGGAAGAAGCCTGCTTGGAATGTCCTATTTTGTGTTTTGTCAGATTATGTGAAAAGGCTAAGACTTCTACCTGTTATTTATAAACTGCGTATCTCAATTCAGATACATCAAACTAATCTTCAAAGTAAATAGAAGAAAAGCCTTTTTGGATATTTTTATTGAACATGACTCATGGAGAAGAGCTTGGCTCTGAGATGCACCAGGATTCCATTGTTTTAACTTACCTAGAGGGATTACTAATGCATCAAGCAGCAGGAGGCTCAGGTACTACAGTCGACAAAAAGTCTACTGGGCATAGTGGAGAGGATCAAAACTTTAAGATTTCTGGAAATATATTTCCCAATTGTCAAAGTAATGGTCCAGTTCTTAACACGAATACATACCAGGGATCTGGCATGCTGCATCTCAAAAAAGCAAGACTATTACAGTCTTCTGAAGACTGGAATGCAGCAAAGAGAAGGCGGTTGTCTGATTCCATTGTGGATTTAAATGTAAAAAAAGAAGCTTTGTTAGCTGGCATGGTTGAAAATGTGCCTAAAGGCAAACAGGATAGCACATTACTTGCCTCTTTGCTTCAGTCATTCAGCTCTAGGCTGCAAAGTGTTGCTCTGTCACAACAGATTAGGCAGAGCCTCAAGGAACAAGGGTATTCCCTCAGTCCTGATTCTTTGCAAGTGGAGAAAGATTTAAGGTGCTATGGTGTTGCATCTAGCCACTTGAAGACTTTGCTGAAAAAAAGCAAAACGAAAGATCAGAAGTTAGACACCAGTCTGCCTGATATAACCAAGAATCTGCCTAAAGAGAGGTTTATAGAATCTCCTCATACAGTACAGAGTGGATCCAAGGTGATAAATGAGCCACTATCATGTGCTGCAAGATTACAAGCTGTTGCAAGCATGGTAGAGAAAAGATCGAGTCCTGCTGCTTCACCTAAACCCAGTGTAGCTTGCAGTCAGTTAGCTTTACTGCTTTCCAGTGAAGCTCATTTGCAGCAATACTCCAGGGAACATGCTTTGAAAGCACAAAATGCAAATCAAATAGCAAGTGAGAGGCTTGCTGCCATGGCCAGATTACAAGAAAGTGCCCAGAAAGACGTTGGCCAATTCAGCCTGTCCAAAGGAATGTCAAGCCATCTTAATGGTCAGATTAGATCATCATCCAAAACCATAACTAACAAAAGCAATATGGCATCCTTTCCAAGTCCAATTGGAATGATTCATTCTTCCCCCAAAAATGTAGGATTCAAAAGTACATTGGAAAGAAACCATTCAAAACAGTCTCCCAACAACAGTTTGCTTTTACATCTTCTTAAGAGTCAGAATACTACTAAGCAAACAAAAGGGCATGAGCAAAATGAGCGAAACAGTATGTTTGAGGAGGGTAGCACACCAACTACAATTGATGAGTACTCTGACAACAATCCTAGTTTTACAGAAGATGACAGCAGTGGTGATGAAAGTTCCCATTCTAACTGTCTTCCTATAGACTTATCCTTCAAACAGAGGACAGATAAACCAGAGTCTGGACAGCCTGCTTCTCTAGATAATCTGACCCAGTCCTTGCTTCATAACTGGGATCCAAAAGTTCCATGTCTAGAGAGCAGGGAAGATAAAGACACTCCAAAGGGTTCTAAACTGAATCCGCATCAGAAAGTAACACTGCTTCAGTTATTGCTTGGCCATAAGGGTGAAGACAAGGTGGAGATAAACACTGATCCTCAGGGACCACACAGTACAGCTGATGTGGCAAAATTTATCGTACAAACTGGCAAAAGGACTCCTGTTACAGAGAGTCCCAGTGCAAACCGAATGACTCCTTTAAGCACTCCCCCTCTACTTGTTCCTACAAAAGCAGATTCTCCGATCAATCTCTCCTACCAGGCTTCTCTAGCAGTGAAGCGTAATTCACCGCCGTATGCCTGCAATTTCCAGCCAGAGAGGCTAGTGAATACAGCATCTAAACATTTGATAGATCTTTCAAAAAGTAAAGATCTTCAAGGACCTAAGCTGAACAGAAACGAGGTTGCACCAAACACTGCATCTTTCAGTGCCAGCAAGTTGTTACAGAACTTAGCTCAGTGTGGAATGCAGACTCCCATTCCAAGTGAAGAGCAACGAACTAGCAAACAGTTGCTTACAGTGAGCGCAGATAAACCTTTAGGATTGATTGACAGATTGAATAGTCCTCTGCTTACAAACAAACCAAGTACCCTTGAAGAAAACAACAAAATATTCAGTTGTCAACCTGCACCCATTGACCAAGGACTTCCTGGCTCAGAAATAGAAAATCTCCTTGAAAGACGCACCGTCCTTCAGTTGCTTCTGGGAACTCCCAATAAAGGTAAAACCGAAAGGAAGGAGAGAATGCTTTTAAAAGATGAAACTTCACAAGAACAGACAGATAAAGCCTTGAATGAGCAAATACTGACCGTGAAAATAAAAACTGAACCCTGTGAAGAATCAAATATCCCTCATAACTCAAATGTACAACAAATAAGAGAGTGTAAGGGTAACACATTTCAAGGAATAACTCATTCATTGCAGAGAAATACAGCTGCTTCTCCAGCATCTGAAGATTTTAAACCCGAGCCTCTTTCACCTCAAGATTTTTCCTTTTCAAAAAATGGCCTGTTAAGTCGTTTGCTGAGACAAAATCACGATAGTTACCCTGCAGATGGTCTGGAGAGAAATCACAGAAATTATGAGTTAACACTTCTAGAATCAAAGAGTCTTTGCACAATTCCTAAGAAGAGAAAACTTCATACTGAGCCATCGGAAGGTCCATTAAAAAAGATAAAAAGTAATGTGTCTGATGCTGCAAACAATCATGCTTCTCCAACAGAGGCATTGTATGGGCCTTTGCTTAACCAGCAAGATGTGAAATTTAATAGAAGCGATCTTGAATTTAAATATGCTGCAAGTTATGGTTCAAGCAATGAAAGTGAAAATAGGAGTTGGTCTAGGGATATCAAAGGCTTTAATGTGTTGAAACAGTTACTTCTCTCAGAAAACTGTGAGAGAGATTTGTCACAGCATAGGAACAGCATAGGAACTGAAGGCAAGAAAAAAGGAAACAAAAATAACGTAGCTATTAAACCTGAATACAGCATTTCTTCAATAAATACATTTATGGGAAACCCTTCGCAACAGAACAATTGTGTAGATCATAGAACATTTCAATATCCTGGAGCACTAAGGAGTCCTGCCAATTCCCCCTTCCCTGAACATTTGGGAAGTATGCTATCTAGACCTGAATCTGATCAACTTGGCGTTTGTCCCTTACCCAGTGAAAAAGGTCCCATCAGATGGGTTATCACAGGTATGGACAAAAATGAATATGAAAAAGACTCCCCCAGACTGACCAAAACTAATCCAATACTTTATTACATGTTACAGAAAGGAGGCAATTCTGTTAATAACCAAGAAGCACATGACAGAGACACTTGGAGTGAACCTTCATTTACAGAAAGTTCAGCTCATGTTACAATCAAAGAGGAGTTGGTACCAGAGGCAGAACCAAAAGCTCCTTTTCATAATTTAAGAAGCCCTTATAATAACCATATTGGGAATAAAGCCTCCCATCAACACTGCATGAATGGAGAGGTACCGGGACTTTTGGAAAAAGTGCTAACAATCAAGAAAGAACCAGAATAAAATAGAGCCACCACAATGAGTTTACAGTCAGTGGTTTTGAATCTTTGTAAAAAAATGAAATAAAATAAAAATGAATATGAACTTGATAAGTGTATAAATTGAGCATGATTTGAGGAAAGCATGGCCTAATTGAAAAATGTTTTTATTTGACAAAACTTTTTATTTTCTGATAATGCTATTTAAAATACATGTAGCTATATTTTGCTTTACAGTAGATTGTCACAAGGAACTACAGAGGTTGTAATTTGTACGAGACGTTTCTGTATGCATCAAACTAAGTTATGATAGTCTATGACTGAAGTCTTATTTGGAGCTACATATCTGGTGCACGTGCAAGCATACCACCTATGTGGTGGGAATGCATTTTGCTGCATTTCATCCCGTCCATGTAGTATCTTTTGGAAATCTACGTATAAAGATTTGTGTAATTTCTGATGTTTAATACATTTTATGAAGTTTTGAGGACATTTTTTAAAGAAACAGAACAGTCTGTCCAACATATGAGCTCATCGTATTTGGAAACTTCTGACGGTGTTAATTGAAATGCACTGAATGCAATTTTTAGTGCTTCTGATTTTTTTTTTTAATTATTATTTTTAAAACTTTTTTGTGGTCCTTCCAGAATCATGGTGCATCTTGTTTTTTTTCCTTTCTCCCACTTGATTATGGTAAATGCCTTCCCCAGAACCGCTAGCAGTAGTTATATACATTCTGAGTTAGTACTAAAAGTTTTTCTAGCTTTTTCTACAGAAGGCAAAATTTCCTATACCCAGGAAGTAGTAGATAAGTCTGTCAGCTCTTATAAAAAGATGGTGGAAATGTCCCTTAGACTTTTGGAATAAATAGGAAGATGATGTACTTCTCAGAAAACTGCCAATACTTCTGGTTAGTGATACAAGTAAGTAGAATGATTTGTTCAGTGCCATGTCACCTCTTCTTTTCAAAGGAAGAGATGCTTCACTTATACCATATTCTACCGGATATCAAATATATTAGATAAGATTGTTGCTGTGAAAGGCATATTGGTTCTTCCATTAGGCACAGAAAAATGCAGTCTGCCAACATTTATTAATCTATGAGTAGCTAATCACTGTCTGAAAACCTGGTTTTAGAATAATTTTCAGGTTGCACTGAAATTTTCAAGTTGTTCATTGTGTCATGTTCCACAGTTAAGGGCCTACCTAATTTGTAAGGGCTGCCCCCCAATTCTGCAGGCAGAATGCGGTCCCAGGCAGCCATTTTGACACCCCCCCATGCCTCTAATTGGCCAAGGGGCCCAGGTGGCCCCGCCTCCCAGTGCTGATTGGCTTTGGGGGCTGTCTGTCATGCGACCTCACCCCTTGATGCTGATTGGCTGCAAGGGCTGTCCATCATGCAGCCATGCCCCTCACCCAGCACTTTATTTTCATTTAGTTGGTTTTTCTTTCCTACAGTTTCCGCAGGCATTACCTGGATTTTGCGGGATTTGTGAAATTCCTAATTCGGTAGGTCCCTATAATGGATGGTGGACTACATCTCGAAAATGCCCTGTCCTTTTTTCTTCTTCTTTTTTCCCCAAACATCTGGCACCATCTTTTTTTCCAAAACTGACATAGGAGCGAAGTACAGGGGTGTTGTGGATCAAAGCTGAGATGTATTGAAAAGATCATTTTATGGGGTAAGCCAAGCAGCAGATTCTTTCTTATTGGCCAGTGTCGCCCCAGGGAGCCCCAAAATCCCATAGTATATGTTCTCAGATGCTCTTTTTCAAAATAATATTAATCGTCAGTTACAGTAATTCCTGCTGAACTTGCAGTATCCACACCAGTATCATGTTTTCAGCAGTTACTTCAGTGAGCATTCCCTGTGATGTGAGAGAATCTATTTAATAACCAAAGTGTTTGAGTAAGGAAGGCTGTATTCTAGTAAGGAACACATCTTCTACAATGTCCAAGAAAAAAAATCTCTGTGGTACAAAGAGTAACAGTACAAAGAGCGGTAAAAGGAATTTTACTGTTTTTTGGGTGATGCTTCATCCATTGGGCAGTATAAAGAATATCCACATTTTAAAACAGTCACATAAAATCTTTTTAAATTACACAGTCAATAGCCTGACTTCTGGGTCTATAGTAAGTTTACGGGGGAAAAAAATCAAGTTTTGTTTTGGTCTTGTAATAGTTGGTAGTTATTAACAAGTAGCCAGCCCCGTGACAGTTCAGTTCTATAACAAAGAATATATCAGTTAGAATACTACAGTAGTTTTTAGATTACAGGCAACCCCCACTTAATGCCATTTTGCTTAACGCTATTTTGCTATAACGCTCATTTTAAATGGTTTCACTTAGCACTCAGCAAATTTTATTATAATGCTCGTGGTTGCCATCTTAGGTCTTTAAAAACAATTGTGGTCGCCATCTTGGGTCGTCAAATACTTCTGGTTGCACTTAATACTTGGTTTTTCAAGAACCAATTAAGAGCGGTAAGTGGGGGATGCCTGTATAGCCAATGAAATTGAATTCTTTTTATATGAATTAGCCTGACATAAATATTAGGGGGAAAAAAGATGGCATTTGTTCCATTCCTGACACATCTCTGAAAATCTTAAGTAAAGATTTTTCTTGAAATAAAATGTATGTAGTTAAGAAGTATAAAATATCTATAATAATAGATGGTCCCCAGAATAAATACAAGGCTGTAATTTACTTAAGGGTTTCTGCTCACATTCATGCAAACAGCCCCCATCTGTGTTGGGCACAAAAGAGGAATCATTGGACATTTGCTATCAAACCAAAATGCTGATGAAAACATGGAACTTTTTCTAGTTTTTTTTCCACCTAATACTAGCAAAAGATGATGTAGAAGCCCTGATGAACGTGCTTACCCATGTATTTATTCTGTGGCAGTCAGTTGTTATAATATACACTTTTAAATGTTTTGTTTCTAAAGCTTATAAAACATTTAAGTTAAAATGTTAACAGTCTTACCAGTTAACAATTTCTCTCTACTTTGAGGTGATGTATGTTAACAACTCTAATATATATCAATGCATTTTCATGCAGTAAAATTTAATTTTAAGATGAGCAGTCCTTAGAAAAATCTCACCCATTGGAAAATTTTCAAAAATGTACAACAGTGTTGTGCTTTGTTACAGCAGTGCCCTTGAAATGAGTTAGTGTACTCTGTTGGAAACCTGTTCCTGCTAAGCTGGTTGTTTAGGCAACCATTGGAAAATGGGACAGAAACATAACCTTCTGCATTAGATTCCCTGGTGCAACACTGATGCCATTCTTACCTTGGAAGAAGGAGAATTTTTAAACATGGCTTGCCCCATTATATTGGCAATCATGAAGCCCATTTGAAAAAATCAGCTGAACCCTGAAAGACCCAAGAATCTGCTCTAAATGAAAGAATCTCATGGGGCTCGGCTAGAGGGGAAGAGTTTGTCAAAATTATCCTTGTGGACTTCTCTTTAGAAAGGGTATAAGGAGAGCAAAATAGCCAGCAGAGGTTGTCTTCTTGCCCTAAGCACTCCCCAGTTCCTTGAATCCATGTAGATCTTGTGGGATCAAGCCAAGATCATGCATACAGGGTGCATATACATGTGGAATTAATGTGCATTAATATACTGGCTCATGTTGCGCCACAGGTTATTGCTCACAGGAGCCACGTATACACGAGTGCCCAAGACCACAGTATATTGAGCAAGGTTGGAGCAGCCCCAGCTGACAGGGAGCCCCAGGGGTTAGCCTACCAGCCTGGGGCTGCTCTGACCTGGCTCAACGTGCTGCGGATAGGCTGGCCGGAGCATGAGGATGCTTCAGTGTGGGGCTAACCTGCAGGCGACGTTCACACTGAAGCACCCTCATGCCCCAGCCAGTTCCATTAGCGTCTACGTGTGCATTGCTTAGAGTAAAAACTCCACCATAAGATTGTACTTGTATTTACAAGTACTAACCTGTGGTGGACTTGATTGGTTTACTCCATCCTAATAGCCCTGCGTGTATCGACACCGAGAGGTTTACTGCACAGCTAATTAAGAAACTCTCCAGTAAACATCTCATGTAGATGTGCCCACAGAGGCCTTGTCACAGTACTTCCTCACAGTTTTGTCTAAAACCCTGCTACCAGGTCATAGCCGGGAAGATGAGCATCTCCAGTTATCCCTCCTCAGATTCAGAGAGGGATCTGAAAGATGCTGCTGCTTGGATAGGGAAAGAGTTGGGATTACAACCCAGTCTTAAGTTCTACGCATGAATGGAAGAAGCAAAAGTTACTAATATTGTGGTTAGTAGTAGGATACATGGAGCATGCAGGATCGACAGGCACAGTTGTAGGACCTGATAAAGATACTAGAAGTACTAAATGCTCATAAAAAAGTGAGGAGCTCGTATTGCAGTTATAAACAAGAGGGTGTTGGAGAGGCTTGGACTTGATTCTTGGCTGTCTTTTGCAAAAATTAAATGTCCATGCTTCAGTCAAAAAAGTGATTGTAACATGTGTAGGCACACCTGAATTAGCTTTAATCTATCTAGTTTGGATACCTGTATAGCACTGCTAGGTTCAGCAGCTCTAGCTTCGGCTGCTAAATATGTACGCAGAGTCTGGGGATGCTTGTACTGCCTATTATGTTGAAGATTAAAGCCTGCTCAGGTATGTCAGCCCTACATTGCAGTCCCATTTCTGATTGCAGTGTAAACACACCTGAAATCAACAGAGGAGGAGCAAGGGAGACTGAAGAGAGCAGAACTGCATTATTTCTCCGTCTTAATGGTATACTTAATAAGGTAACGTGACCACAAAAAGAATCAGGGCTGTATTCTGCTAAATAGCTTCCTACAGATACCACTAAACCAAAATTTATGTTTCAGCAGTTTAGGAACATCATTAAATTGAAAGGGAATTCAAACATAACTTTCACTCATTTTAGCCATTTATTGTTTGTAATATTTTAAAAACTTTAATTTACAAATTTTAAAGAGTGATTTAAAGTTTTCCCTGTTAACGTTGTCGGTGAAAGAGTATTGCAGCTCTCATTAACGTCAGTGAAATGATATTACCAGTTTGTTCTCTGCCACAACTTACAGAGGAGTAAACTGGTAAGTATATATTATATATATTTATAAATATGTAAATATATTGACTTGTTACACGCATAATATGTTGCAATTGGTTTTTAAAAGGTGATGTAAATAGTGGTTTAATTAATGAAAATACCTATTTTGTATTGTTCTAATGCAAAGGAAAAAAACCTTTTAATCTCGTTTGGCTTTCGGGTTTCTTTCTTTCCTTCCCCACCTCTTTGTTATGTATATTTCATGTATAAGTGTAAATATGATCACATAGATTTAAAAACTTTTGCATGTATGTATACAGTTGCAAGTCTGAAAGAATGTATAGAAAATACTTTTATTTAAAGTTGTGATTACCTGCTGCATGAAAAGTGCATGGGGGACCCTGTGCATCTGTGCATTGGCAAAAATGTCTTAACAAGTCAGGTCAGTTCAAAAAATAACAGTATTCCATTTCTGGACATGACTTCTGCTGTGGTATTTTAGCTTTGTGAAAGAATGTGCTTCAAATCAAAAGGGTCTGGGTGAAAAAAACTCAAAACTACTTTTAAAGCATAAACACTCTCTCAACTGTACTCAGTCATAAGTTCAGAACTCCATTTTAAAATACTGTTTCAAGAGTATTTCAACACTATAAAATGTTGGAATATTGGTTGTCATTGCTAGACATAAGAATTCTGGGGTTTACCACAACCAATTTTATTGTGATGTGTTTTCAGTAATAAAACTGGTCTCATTTTTATTAGAAATTAATTTCCTCATGTGATGTCACAAAACCGTACATACTGCAGTGTGAAGTTTTTTAAATCTTTCAGTGTTTACTTCCTGCAGAAGATTTGAATAAATGAAAAAAATGCATTGTCTTGATGGTTTCTAAATCTACTTTGTTCTTTGCGTACTTTCAGTCATTTGAATCCT